CAATAGTATTTTCTAATTGAGGTAAGATCGATTAACACTCTCCTACCTTATTTCTTTCCTTTTCTGTGTCTCGAAGGAAATGATGATAGATTAAAAATGGGAAAATCGTGCAGAAGTCCTAAGAAAGAGACTTTATTTATTTGAGGTCTCACAAAATGTCAAAATTATTAGCAGGTCCCAAAGGACCTTAGAGTATTTTATTCTAATTGTAAAATGACATCACTACCCCTCAGATTTTCAATTCACATTTTCTCTGCCATTACAATTAACAACCTCAGCAGCGACTATTAACAACCTAATGAGAAGGTATTGACAACCTAAGTAGTATCCGTTGACAACTTATTTTATAGGATCACATAACCTCCATATAAGAGTAAATTATAACCAAATAGTATAATATAATAACTTTAATACTAAAATGGGAAGCTTTTCGAAACCATTAGGAACTTTAACTAAACCTAATAGGACTATAGTAAAATTTTAATATGGAGATCCATTGACAACTTCAACGGTGAGTATTAATAACACAAGGAGAGCTGTCGACAACCTAGACAATGTCTGTTAACAACTGACTTTATAGGATAATATAACATCTACATAAGATCAAATTATAACTAAATAGTATAACATAACAACTACATAAGATCAACTTTAACCCCATTTAGTTATAATTTAATTCGTTATAATTGTTAGAGGTTATATTATCCTATAAAATCAGTTATTAACAGACACTATCTAGGTTGTCAATAGCTCTTCTTCGGTTATAATACTCACCGTTGAGGTTATTAATGCATCTCCGCATTAAAATTTTACTATAGTCCTATTAGGTTTAGTTAAAGTTCTTAATAATTTCAAAAAGCTTCCCATTTCAGTATTAAAGTTGTTGTATTATACTATTTGGTTATAATTTATTTTTATGTGGAGGTTATATGATTCTATAAAGTAAGTTGTCAACTGATACTGCTTAGATTTTCAACACGTTCTCATTGGGTTGTTAATAGTCATTATTGAGGTTGTCAATAGCAATAGCAGAGAAAATATGAATTGAGAATCTGAGGAGCAGTGGTGTCATTTTACAATTAGAATATAATACTCTAAGGTCCCTTGGGATCTGCTAGTAATTTTGACATTTCGTGAGACCTTGGAGGAATAAAATCTCTGTGAGCCTGTTTGATTCTTTTTTAAAACAATTTTTTGTTTTCAAAAACATAAAAATAAAAAAATTTGTTGGGTAATTTGTTTTTAGGTACTTGTTTTAAAAAACAAAAAACAGTAATATGTTTTTAAAAACTAAAAAACTAAAACAATTTTCACATGTTTTCTTGTTTTTATTTTTGTGTTTTTTATTTTTTGTTTTGAAAAATTTTGAAAAATTTTCTTTTCTTTTCAGTTACTATCCACTACTTATTATTACTAGTGATAATTATCACTTACTAAGTGTGATTTTCTATGATTTTTTTTCAAACATGATTTTTAAAATTATTGTCCAAACAAATTCTTTTGTTTTTTGTTTTCAAAACTTATTTTAAGAAACAATTTTATAAAATTGTTTTGAGAACAAGAAAACAAACAACAAAAACAAACACGCCGCTAATCTTCCAGCCGCTGTTCTGCTATATGGCGCCAGACTCTATGGATTTTTTTTGTTTTTTGGCCAACCAAAGTCTATGGAATTTAAATGGGTGAAGTTTGCCGAATTGAAGGAGGTAGATTGGAGTCCAAATAGATTATACAGGGGTTTGCATGTCACTTTCTCCTTCAATTTTTTGTGTAACTCGTGACTGATCTGTGAAGATAATTTTATTGCTCTTCTTCTCTGGTTATTAGTCCCCGAAACAGGGGTAATGGTTCAAAGAGATGACTTGGGTTTAATGAGAAAATGAAGAGCATGAATGTGTGTGTCTGTGGGGGCTTAGAGAGTATAAATACGTATATATGTATAGAAACCTGGCAATGATGTGTGTGTGTGTGTGTACACACACATATGCTCGCGTTGCCGAAGTGGAAGAAAGGTTCATTAATGGATATACCTGTGTGTGTGAGTAAATATATATATATATATATATATATATATCGTGTAAAGGCCATGACGTTCATATTGAGGAAGCTGGAACTGATTCCAAAATGAGTATTTCATGTTCTCAAGAGCTGTACAATGATTTTAGATGGTTAAATAATAAGTAGGAATTATTCTTGAACTTGGAAGTCTTGGATTAAATGTATTAAGTTGTCAACTATGTTTATTAGCAATTAGAGGATGAATAAGTGAATATGCTGGTTGCTCTCAAATATTAAATAGGTGCTTTCAAATATTAACTAAGGGGATTGTTCTTACAAGTGAAAGTCAAATACAATTTTTTTTGACCAAGATGACTAGTTATTAAAAAAGGAGAAACTCAGAGAATTGGGATTAAGAGGGGGAAAGAAAATTTTTAATGTCTTTAAATAAATTAATGAATATATTTTTTTTTTCAGGATGACCAACTATTAAATAAAAAGAAATAGAGTTTATTAGTGGGCCAAGAGAAGTTATATTTTGACAACAAAAGTTAAATGAACTAAGTATTAAACCATTTATATATGAAGCTATATTATAGGTTTTGATATCTGTCTGAGCCTGCTAAGAAAGCAAGTAAAGAAGAAATCCAGAAAAGGTAAACCGGAAGAAGGGACTTCAGGTATTGACTCTTTTCCTCTCATATAATTATGCAATAATTCTGCATGCCTATTCTTGCCATAGTGCCTATATGCTATAATGAATATATGGTGAATGTTTTGTGATAAACAATTGCTAGCTCGTAGAGCTATACTCAAGTATAGGTATGTGAAATTTGCTTTGCGTTGAGCTTGTAAAGCCGTACTTATAAGTGAGTATGTGAAATTTGCTTTACATTGAACTCGCAGAGTTATACTCAATCATGAGTATGTGACTTTTTTTGGTGTTGATTTAATTGTCATAGCCATGTGCATTGCAAAGCGTGGGATGCATGAGCATCATTAATTATATCTGTTTGCAAAGCTTATAATGTTTGAGCATCGTTGTTTATGCTTGGTTGCAAGTGCTGTTAATATGACTTGTTTTGTATGCATTTCTAAACTTTGTATAATTGTATGATGGATAACGGTTACTACTAAGATTCCTAGAATCTCACATCTTTCTTCTATGATACACAGGGAGGGCAAAAGGCTCTAAAGGCAAGGGAGTAGTTATTGAAGGAGTTTAACATGTTGGTAGCTGAAATGATGAGACAGTTGGTCATCAAGTCTTATTTTGATATTTTAGTTATGTTTTGGTAGCCCTGTGTGGCTAAAGATATGTATATAATTATATGTAACTATGTGAAGTACTTATGAGCTATATATACCTCCATAAAGAGGGAAGTAATAGTTTTTGTAGCTAGTAGGCAAGTGCCATCAGCTCAGATGATTGTATGATTATAGATGGATGTTTAGTTATTATTGTGAATTCAATATTAACTGTCTAGTTCAAAGTTGCTCTTTAATATTTGAGCCAAGAAATTAATTAAATATCTAAATCACTGAACAGATCATTCTGCAAATTGTTTTATAAAGTTTGAAAGTTTTTTTTAGAAATTTCATCTTTGATACAAGATCATACCCTGTGTTTGAGAAAAATATTAAAAAGTAATTTGATGAAAGTATTCTTCTTTCTTAGGACCAAACTTTACTCAGTGGTTCAACAGCTAATTAATTAACCATTTTGATATGGTTATAGTAGATGTTATATCAATGCTATCATTTTTTTATTAATAATTTCCAGGTTAAATGACTAAGAATGTATTTTTTAAATTAAAGAGACTAAATTAAAATATTGTATAACGTTAAATAACTAAATGTATAATTTAGCCTATCATTAATTATTTATAATGCAATAATCTAATAACATCTTGATTATAATTTGGACTCGGTGCTATGTTGATGAAAAAATCATGTTCCGATGCACAATTTCACTAGTTTATAACACCCATTGATGGAAAAATATTGGGTGTTCACTGATCAATCACAACCCGCAAAAAAGGGGGCAAAAAAAACACAGTTGCAGATAATAATTCAAACTGTAAATTTAGAAGTTTTAATTAAAATCAAGACATTCAAATTTGAAAAGTAACTCTCAGCTTATAAATGAGATTCCTATTTGTAACTGTCTAATCGATGTTTACGAATGTCATTCCTCCAATAAATTTGAAGCACAAAAAAAATCACGAGAATGATACATGTTCCACTAATAGCTCTCTAAAGGCTTAATAAAGTAGGTTTGAAATTCTCAAGTGTGTATTATTTGAACTTGCATGTATACCACAGAGAATTCAGAAACTCAAGTACGTTTGTGCAACCTGTTGCACCTAAAAGAACAGATGCAAAAGAAGCTTGCTATAGTCCTTCATAAGGGAATCAAAAGGATAAGATTTTGCACTGGGAACAATCAACCCTTTCAGCTTCTGGTTAGGAGTAAATAGAATGATGCAAGATATAATTAAAAACTTGCACATCAGAAAGGCAATCTTACGGTTAGTTTCATCTGAAAGAATTCATTGCTTGGCTCATAGAAATTAAACAATAGCAAGGGCTCAATTTAAACAAAAATCTTAATATGTCACAACAAAATATATTGGCTAATGGAAGTGCAAATATTACACTAAAAATAACCACAATGCGTCATAGCTAATTAATAGCAAAATTTAAATCAAAGGATGGATATTTCACTGACGGGAAAGAGGGAATTCAGTTTTGTAGCTAGTCATGATGAGCCGGATTAAATTTTGCAATTCAATCATAAGAAAGTAACTTTAAACATAAAACAGAGACCCTCAACTAGATTATATAGGGTAATTGAACAAAGAGAAAATAAGTTTGCTGACAAAAATAGCTTTCAACATAAAACAAATTAGAATTGGGCCATTAAGGAAGAAAGAAGAACGCCATGTTAAGACAAAAATTTCACAATGATAATGGAACAGAGTCAAAATAATTAGCTAAACACATGGCTTAAACAGAACATCAACAATAGTAAGATACACAACTTCAATAACAAACAAACAATAGAGGGTCTCACCCTGTTTCATTTTAACGACCCTTAGAAATCATCTTACGAAGAAGCTTCTCTGCCTCATCATCCTCATTTTTATCAAGAAGATGTCCAATAATAACTGTAAAAGTTGTCGTGTCTAGGACGTAGTCGGTGTCTTCCATTTTATTGTCAAGGAGGGCCTTTGCCTCGTCAAACAAACCCTCTTTACAAAGTCCTTTGATCATAATAGTATAGGACACAGCATTTAGATGCCGACCTTCCATCAAAAGATATTGAAAAATCTCTCTTGCCTTATTTAATCTTCCACTACTGCACAAGCCATCCATGAGAATATTGTAAGTGCGAACCGTAGGTTGAATATTCTTTTCGACAAGATGTTGAAATAATGCAATTCCTCGATCAATATCCTGCCTTTTACATAGTGCATGTATCAAGATATTATAAGTGATTATATTAGGAGGATGACCTCTGTGATGCATCTCATCAAGAAGATCACGAGCAAATGAGATTCTTCCTGCTTTGCACAAGCCGTCAATCAGACAATTATAACTTGCTGTGCTGGGAACCAAATTTCTTGAACGCATTTTCTTAAAGAGATACATGGCCTCATCCAATCTTTTATTCTTACAACACCCATCAATCAAAATGTTATAACTCAACACATCTGGTCTCAAACCATTTTTAGTCATTTTATTAAATACTTCAATTGCTTCCTTTACATAGTTGACCTTACAATATCCACTCATTAAGCTGTTGTAGGAAATGACATCAGGCTTATGACCATACTTCATGATTTTGGCAAACATAACTTGACTTTCTATGATCCTTCCTTCTTTACAAAATGCATCCACGAATGTAGTAAGGGTGGTCACATCCATGTTGATACCTCTTCGAAACATATCATTGAGCAATTCAGTAACTTCTTCCCATTGCTGGATTTTGCAGAATCCATCCACGAGAGTGGTGTATGTGATAGTATCGGGAAATATTCCATTGTCAATCATTTCTGAGAACAAATCAAGTGCCTCTCTCACAAATCCCTCTTTACAAAGACCATCCATGACTGTGCTGTACATAACTACGTCAGCCTTCATTCCAAGTCCAGGCAGCTTCTGGAGTAATTTGACAGCACATCTGGTTTTCCCCACCTTACATAATCCATTGATTATTATGCCGTAACTAATTTCATCCAAAAAATATCCTTTTGCAATTACCTCATCGTGGAAATCCAATGCTTCCCCAATCATGTTGTTGATACAGAGTCCCTTCAATAGTGTAGTTAAAGTTATAGTATTCGGTTGAAAACCCATCTTAAAAATCTTCCCCAATACGGAGAAAGCACAATTCATCTGACCCACGTGGCCGTAACAGTTGATCAAAATAGCTAGAAAAGCTAAAGATGGAGTGAAACCCTTCAACTGCACCTGAGAACAAAGAGAAATAACGGTGGGATAACGCTTCATTTTGGCAATGGCCCCCAACATTTTGTCAATTGCAAAGATGGAGGGAGGGGGACGCTTACAAAGCGTCTGATTGAATGAATCAACCACATCTGTGATGTCGTTAGAATTTGAAGAATGGGAATGTAGGAGGAAGTTGAGACAAAAGGTACGAGGTAAATGGATAAGGAAGCGAGAAGAAGATGATGGAAGAAAGAGAGGAAACTGAAGGAAGGCGTACCTTGTAGCTTGAGAGAGCAACATCTTCACATAGCAAAATGAGATTTCAGCGAGAGACGGCCTTTTGAGGGTCAGTCCGAACTCGGGAGGATGAATCTAGGGGTCTGCGTATGACTTCTCTCCGCTGCGTCCTTTTCTCCGCTGCCCTCCTATACCTAAACCTGCAACGTTTTGGGTGGAAAATAGCGTTCAATGCCTCTTTTTCTTTTTTTTTTTTTCTTTTTTTTAAATAAGATTCATTATCTTAAAATATTTTTAAAAAACACTTAATATTCTAAAATAATTTTTTTATATACTCAGCACCGTAAAATATTTTTTCAATAACACTCAGTATTTCAAAAATACACTTAGCACTCAGTGTTATTGGAATCCAAAATTATTTAGGATATTACTGAAAAAATATTTTAGGGTGCTTATTATAACAAAAATTATTTTAAAACTCTAAATGCTCCTCCTAGAAAAAAATATTTGAAAGTGTTGAGCATATTTTTAGGATACCGAGTATTACTGAAAATATTATTTTAGGATATGGGGTGTTCTTGAAAAAATAATTTACGATATTGCTAAAAAACACGTGGGAGAAAAAAGCACATGGGTTAGCTTTGAAGTGTTTGGTTTCTTTGGGGCGTTTTTTGGCATCCTAAATTATTCTTTTAATATCTTAAAATAATTTTTGGCAGTCCCATAAACTTTTTTTTTTAAAAATAACATTCAGTATCCTAAAAATATACTCAACACCCTCAAAAGTTTTTTTTAGGAGCATTCAGAGTTTCAAAATAATTTTTTAGTACAATAAGCACCCTAGTACATTTTTCAGTAGTATACTAGTATCCTAAAATAATTTTGGGTTCCAATAACACTAACTGCTGAGTGTATTTTTGAAATACTGAGTGTTATTGAAAAGATATTTTATGGTTCTGAGTATATCAAAAAATTATTTTAAAATATTGAGTGTTTTTTAAAAATATTTTAAGACAATGAATCTTAATTAGAAAAGAAAGGAAGAAGCGTTGAACCCTATTTTCCACCCAAACGTCGTGGTTTTAGGTATAGGAGGGCAGCGGAGAAAAGGACGCAGCGGAGAGAAGCCATACGCGGTCTAGGGCGCCCTTTTCTTTTTGGGAAAATGACAATAAAATACCACTTGAATTTTAAAAAGACAAATAAGGCACCTGAATAAGCAAAATAACAAATAGGGCACTGGGTACCAATCTGGAATTCATATTTTCGCCCAAAAGACCAAAATGTCCTGATGAAATACGGGAAGATAGACGCTGAAAGTGAGAGAAAGGAGAGAAGAAGATCGACGGAGTGAGAGAAAGGAGAGAGGAAGACCGACGCTGATGAAATGCAGAAAGAAGGAAAGAATAATGTTGGAAATGCTATTATCTTACTCCTTCGCATCACCATTCTGTAGAGATTGTTGATTTTGGTTGTGGGAAAGAGGATTTGTAGTGAAAGAGGGAGTGAACCGAAGCTGAAAGATGAAGCGAAAATCAGAAAACTGGCAAGCAATTACGTAACGTAACTGCTGTCATATGCCTGCTGGTTTTTGGTAAATCCCATTACGTGAATGGTAAATTTCACTATACATGTAGTTAATTATGCATTTTACAAAATACATATTGTGATTTACAACTTTTGTAGTGAAAGTGACTACTTTGTTAATGGATTTTGCAACCTGTTTTCAGGAGATAAACAACTTGTTTGTAAAACTAATAAAAATGACAACTTTTGTAGTCACGTTGAATTAACTGGTTGCAAAAGCCATTTAAGAAGTGGTCATTTTCACTATAAAAGTTGTAAATATCACTGTGTGTTTTGTAAAATTCAGCGTCAAATTTTATTGATTTTTAGAAACAAGTTGCTCATCCCCTGAAAAGAGATTGCAAAACTCATTTAAGAAGTGGTAATTTTCACTACAAAAGTTGTAAATATCACTCTATGTTTTGTAAAATTCAGCATGGAATTTTATTGGTTTTTAGAAACAAATTGCCAATCCCTTGAAAAGAGGTTGCAAAACTCATTTAAGAAGTGGTAATTTTCACTACAAAAGTTGTAAATATCATTCTATGTTTTGTAAAATTCAGCATGAAATTTTATTGATTTTTAGAAACAAGTTGCCAATCCCTTGAAAAGAGGTTGCAAAACTCATTTAAGAAGTGGTAATTTTCACTACAAAAGTTGTAAATATCATTCTATGTTTTATAAAATTCAGCATGAAATTTTATTGGTTTTTAGAAACAAGTTGCCAATCCCTTGAAAACATGTTACAAAACCCATTGAAGAAGTGATTATTTTCACTACGAAAGTTGTAAATCTCACTATGTGTTTTGTCAAATTTAGTAGGAAATTTTATTAGTTTTTAGAAACAAGCTGCCCATCCCTTGAAAACAAGTTACAAAACCCATTCAATAAGTGGTCATTTTTACTACGGAAGTTGTAAATCCCACTATACGTTTTGTCAAATTTAACGTGAAATTTTATTAGTTTTTACAAATAAGTTGTTTATCTCCTGAAAATAGGTTGCAAAACCCATTAACAAAGTAGTCACTTTCACTACAAAAGTTGTAAATCACAATATGTATTTTGTAAAATCCATAATTAACTACATGTATAGTGAAATTTACCATTCACGTAATGGGATTTACCAAAAACCAGCAGGCATACGACAGCAGTTATGTTACGTAATTGCTTGCCATTGTTTTCTGATTTTCGCTTCGGTTCACTCCCTCTCTCACTACAAATCCTCTTTCCCACAACCAAAACCCACCAAATCAACAATCTCTACATAATGGTGATGCGAAGGATTTAGTTTCGTCAACTGGAGGGGGTTCGGTTTCGTGGAGTGGAGGGATTGGTTTCATCGAGTAGAGGGATTCGGTTTCACTGAGGGGAGGGATTAGTTTCACCGAGTAGATGGATTGGTTTCGTCAAGTGGGGGCAGTTTCTCTTTCGCCGAGTGGGGGGAATTGCTTTCGCTAGGAGGAGGTGATTTCTACCTTTCTCTATCTCCTCAGTTTTCAAACACAATAAGGGCAATTCAGTCTTTAGACCAAAAATCAAAATTCCAGATTGGTACTTGATGCCTTCTTTGTCATTTTGCTTATTCAGGTGCCTTATTTGTCTTTTTGGAATTCAAGTGGTATTTTAGTGTCATTTTCCCTTTCTTTTTTTCAACCTGAACTTGTGAGTTGAATTTCTAATTCCAAAATTTTTGTAAAATGAAAAAACATTTTTAAAAGCTGATTCAAACAGTTTAATGGAATCATGCATTGAATATTGTTTAACTGATATAATCTTCGTTAAGCTATTTAAAAATTAAGATATAAAATTTATTTTTATACATAAATAAAAATTAATTTTATTTAAAAAACCATAAAATAATTGTTATTTTTCTCAATGATAAATAAGGTTCTTAAAAAAATACTACCTCCAATCCTAATTATAAAACCTTGTTCGTAAATTTAAAAATTAAGATACAAATTTTTATTTTTATTACATAAATAAAAATTAATTTTATTTAAAAAAATACCACAAAATACCTGTTATTTTTCTCAACGATAAATAAGGTTTTGAAAAAAAAACTACCTACAGTCCCAATTATAAAACCGCGTTTGTAAATTACAAACAATATCTTATAATTAAAATCTGAGGTATTAATAAATAGGTGGTGCTAATTATTCTTGTAGAGTTTTAAATGTCAAAATTATTTATTTGTTATTTTGAAATTCAACAAGAATTTTCTGTCGTTTTTCTTTTTATCTATTTATATTACTTTCTTGTGCTTTGTAATTTATGTTAAGTAATTGATTATTTTTTAAACTGAAATATCTATTCTAATTAGTTTTTTAGTTGTTTTTCATTGTATATATTTTTAATATTTTTCCTTGATTCTCACTATTCCAATCCCATTTGAATTTGGATGCAATAGAATTTTGAAAAAATTATTCTTATGTTACTTCAATTTTTAACTTATTTAGTCATTTATAACTTGGTTTCTTAAGTATGACTTTGAAAAAATTCAATTAAATTTTAGCTTTTATAATTTGATTTCTTAAATTTTTGACTCGTTTAAAATTAAGTTTTTATGTTATCAAATTTTTTATTAAAAAAATCATCATCCCTCCAACTCATAACTTAATTATTCTACACGTAAAAAAACTTTAATAATGTTATTAAATGCATATATACATTTATAAATTCATCTATTAATACTTGTAAATTTTTTTATTAGTTGTTAATGTAAATCATAACTTGTGAATTTTTATTTAGATGAACAATTGTAATTTGGTGTATAAGAAAAAAGAACAATTGTAATGTTTTCCATCAAACTTAGGGAGCTCTGTTTATTACACATATAAGTTGTTGCATTATATAACATAATGACTTTAATAGATCAATGGTTGTGAGTGTTTGAGAAATTAATTTTGATGATTTCACAAATAATTATTATTTAATAATTTTTGTAGTAAATATTTTTAAAATTAGTTATTATTTTGTCAAGGAATTTAAAAGAAAAGGTTGAGCGGCTCATGACTGATTCGCTGATATAGTTCATGAAGAGGAGAGAATGGAAAAAGCCATTATAGATAGATAATGACATTTTAAAAATTAATTATAAATGCTTCCTTTATTAAACTTTTATAACAGTCATGTTCATTAACAACCAATTGATAAGGCTTACAAATAGAATTTAAGAGTGTTTTTCCCCCAACAAATCGTAAGAGTGTTATATGAAGCAAAATATTAATAAAACAAATCCATCAAATTTACTACAGATTTGAACTAAGCTGAAAATTTTGCATTGCTCATAGTTATATAATCACTTATACTAAATATAGGTTTTGTTTGTGCATCAATTATTATCTTTTAATGAATAACTATATCAATTATTGATATTATTAATTTATTGCCACGATACAATAAAATTATTAATTATTGATTAATATTTAGTTTTCAGATATAAATTATGAGATATTATTATAAATTCAGATTTTGCAAATCCACCTCATTCATTATTGATCATGCCTGTATCAAATTTTTTGTTGAATGGTCATACCATATATTGCTATAATTAATTGTCATTTCTAATAACGTATTAATACTATCAATTATTAATTAATATTATTTTTTTCTAAATATAAACCTTGGGGATGCTGAATATAGATTCAATCTTTGAAAGTTGCATAATTAGTTATTTATAAAGTGGGATAATATAATAATATCTTGATTTTAATTTGGACTTCATAATATGTCGATGAAAAATTCATGTTCCTTGCGCAGTTTCACAAGTTTACAACACCCTTTGATACACCCATTGATGGAAATATATTGGGTGTTCACTGATCAATTTCAAACAGCAAAAACGAAAAAAAAAATTGTTTTTCTTTTAAAGAACTTACTAACAATTAGGATTCAAAAACCTGCAAACAATTTTTTCTAAAAAAAAAATTACATTTAGTTGGTCACGTTGTAAGTAGAAAGAACTAGTCCCTAATAACATAACAAACTAACCCCGGGCCAACTGTCCCACCCATTGAGGTGCCTACAAGCCAGCGAAGGGATTAGTTACCGGGTCCGCCGGTGGATACCCTGATGTTTCATTAAAAAAAAAAACATATCAAACTAATATTTGAATCCCTACTAAGAAATATGTTCATATTTAATGCGCAACTATATCTTAAATATAATTATTTTGAAAAGAATACATGTCATCAATCAAAAAGGAAAAACAAAAAACCAATGCCTAAACTTGTTAATTTCAGATTGTACATTGCCAAAATTATTTTTTTAAAAAAAAATCTGAACCTAATATCAGTTAAGTGACTATGCTAATAATGTATGACCAAGCATTTATCTAATCTAAAACTCAGCAATCTCCAACATGAAGCTAGAAAGTTAATGCCAAATAAAATATCGGGATTTGATACACATGAAGTTAAGATCAAAAGCAAGAGAAACTTCATGCCAATGGAAGTAGACAATCTCATTTGAACTTGCATGTATATTATAGAGAATTCCGGAACTCAAGTGTGTTCGTGCAACTTAGTGAACCTTAAAGAACATGTGCAAAAGAAATTTGCTTGCTAAAGTCCTTCATAAGGGAAACAAAAGGATAAGATTTTGCACTTGGAACAATCAACCCTTTAAGCTTCTGGTTAGGAGTACATAGATTGATGCAAGATATAATTAAAAACTTGTACATCAGAACGGCAATTATACAGATAGTTTCGTTTGAAAGAATTCATTACTTGGCTCGTAGAAATTAAACAATAGCAAGGGCTCTCAATTTAAACAACAATCTTAAAATGTCATAGCAAAATATATTGGCTGATGGAAGTGCAAATTTTCCACTAAAAACTCTTCAGTCAAGGTAAAAGTTATTAAACCACAATGCGTCATAGCTAATTAATAGCAAAATTTAAATCAAAGGATGGATATTTCACTGACGGGAAAGAGGGAATTCAGTTTTGTAGCTAGTCATGATGAGCCGGATTAAATTTTGCAATTCAATCATAAGAAAGTAACTTTAAACATAAAACAGAGACCCTCAACTAGATTATATAGGGTAATTGAACAAAGAGAAAATAAGTTTGCTGACAAAAATAGCTTTCAACATAAAAAAATTAGAATTGGGCCATTAAGGAAGAAAGAAGAACGCCATGTTAAGACAAAAACTTCACAATGATAATGAACAGAGTCAAAATAAATTAGCTAAACATATGGCTTAAACAGAACATCAACAGTAGTAAGATACAACAACTTCAATAACAAACAAACAATAGAGGGTCTCACCTTGTTTCATTTTAACGACCCTTAGAAATCATCTTATGAAGAAGCTTCTCTGCCTCATCATCCTCATTTTTATCAATAAGATGTCCAATAATAACTAAAAGTTGGCGTGTCTAGGATGCAGTCGATGTCTTCCATTTTTTTATCAAGGAGGGCCTTTGCCTCGTCAAACAAACCCTCTTTACAAAGTCCTTTGATCATAATAGCATAGGACAGAGCATCTAGATGCCGACCTTCCATCAAAAGATATTGAAAAATCTCTCTTGCCTTATTTAATCTTCCACTAGTGCACAAACCATCCATGAGAATATTGTAAGTGCGAACTGTAGGTTGAATATTCTTTTCGACAATATGTTGAAATAATGCAATTCCTCGATCAATATCCTGCCTTTTACATAATGCATGTATCAAGATATTATAAGTGATTATATTAGGAGGATGACCTCTGTGATGCATCTCAACAAGAAGATCACGAGCAAATGAGATTCTTCCTGCTTTGCAAAAGCCGTCAATCAGACAATTATAACTTGCTATGCTGGGAACCAAATTTCTTGAACGCATTTTCTTAAAGAGATACATGGCCTCATCCAATCTTTTATTCTTACAACACCCATCAATCAAAACGTTATAACTCAACACATTTGGCCTCAAACCACTTTTAATCATTTTATTAAATACTTCAATTGCTTCCTTTACATTATTGACCTTACAATATCCACTCATTAAGCTGTTATAGGAAATGACATTAGGCTTATGACCATACTTCATGATTTTGGCAAACATGACTTGACTTTCTATGATCCTTCCTTCTTTACAAAATGCATCCACGAATGTAGTAAGGGTGGTCACATCCATGTTGATACCTCTTCGAAACATATCATTGAGCAATTCAGTAACTTCTTCCCATTGCTGGATTTTGCAGAATCCATCCACGAGAGTGGTGTATGCAATAGTATCGGGAAATATTCCATTGTCAATCATTTCTGAGAACAAATCAAGTGCCTCTCTCACAAATCCCTCTTTACAAAGACCATCCATGACTGTGCTGTACATAACTACGTCAGCCTTCATTCCAAGTCCAGGCAGCTTCTGGAGTAATTTGACAGCACATCTGGTTTTCCCCACCTTACATAATCCATTGATTATTGTGCCGTAACTAACTTCATCCAAAAAATATCCTTTTGCAATTACCTCATCGTGGAAATCCAATGCTTCCCCAATCATGTTGTTGATACAGAGTCCCTTCAATAGTGTAGTTAAAGTTATAGTATTCGGTTGAAAACCCATCTTAAAAATCTTCCCCAATACGGAGAAAGCACAATTCATCTGACCCACGTGGCCGTAACAGTTGATCAAAATAGCTAGAAAAGCTAAAGACGGAGTGAAACCCTTCAACTGCACCTGAGAACAAAGAGAAATAACGGTGGGATAACGCTTCATTTTGGCAATGGCCCCCAACATTTTGTTAATTTCAAAGATGGAGGGAGGGGGACGCTTACAAAGCGTCCGATTGAATGAATCAACCACATCTGTGATGTCGTTAGAATTTGAAGAATGGGAATGTAGGAGGAAGTTGAGACAAAAGGTACGAGGTAAATGGATAAGGAAGCGAGAAGAAGATGATGGAAGAAAGAGAGGAAACTGAAGGAAGGCGTACCTTGTAGCTTGAGAGAGCAACATCTTCACATAGCAAAATGAGATTTCAGCGAGAGACGGCCTTTTGAGGGGGAAGTCTGAACTCGGGAGGATGAATCTAGGGCGCCCTTTTCTTTTTGGGAGAATTTCACTGAAGGACCGCAGAATACAATTAATGTCAAAGAGCCCCAGAACTTTCTAAAACCTCACTGCAGGACCAAGGGGCCAATCTGATATTAATTTCACAAACGAAATGACGCCATTGCCCCTCATTTTACTTCCTCTGAAATTTGAAAATGAGGCGAAAAAGCGACGGTCAAAAGTCCTCCCGCTCTCTCTCTATGCGAACATGATCCCACTGTGCGAAAACTCTTCCCTCTCCTGCTTTGCGAACGTGCAACCACTCTGGGAAAACTGTAGCGTCTCCCGGTCTGCGGACATGCTACCACTCTGCGAAAAATCTGCCCTCTCCCGACTGCGAACGTGCTACCTCTGTGGGAAGATTCTTGCCTCTCGCAATCTGTGAAAAGTGTTCGACGTGGCCCCCAAAAATTCCATTAGCTTCAATCTGCGGGTTCGTGGTAGTCACTAGAAGCTGAAGGAGAATAAGAAGAGGCCGACAAAGGAGGAAACTCGCAAGGCTATCGACAAAGAAGGAAGAAGCAGGGCGAGAAGAAGTCACTGATTTCCTTTGGTAAGCTTCGCGGTCCCCATTAAATGCAGTAGATTTGTTCGATTCTGTTTTCATGGTAGGTTAAGGAGGAATGACCCACTGAAAGGTGGGTGTGTTTGGTAACGACATTTAGGTTCTAACCTAGGAATGATTACCAATGTGTCACATAGTGTTCGGTCGTCACCCCTACTGCCTTTTAGCAAATGCTCCTGATTTAGTGAGCGAAGGCTTGTGAGTGTAGCATGAAGAGTTTGTGTGGGAGCTAAGTAAGAAAGTTATTAATTATTTAGGGAAAAATTAGTGTTGGTAGTTAACTTTATTGCTATAGTGTTTGTAGGCATTTTGCAGGAATTAAGAAAAGAATTGGGAGGGGCAAATGTTGTCGTATGGATTAGGCAAATGAGTTTGTTTTGTTTGGTTTATCCTGTTGATTGTTGGAATGTGAGATTTTGTGGGCTAACAATAGGAGTTAGTCAATTGACGTGAAGAATTAGTTGACTAACCAGTTGCATGTGACAACCTCATGTTTGCATATACCTGTCAAGTTAGGCAATTTACATGAAGAATCAATAAATTACTAGCTATGTTTGTTGGAATCTGATCTGTAGTGGCCTCACAAGGAAAATTAGGCAATTGACATGAGGAATTAGGGGTTTATCCAGTTAGCTTCTGTCAAACGGTTTCATGTTTCCAGGAATCTGTCAAGTTAGGCAATTTACATGGAGAATCAGTAAATTACCCACTATGTTTGTGGGAATCTGGTTTGCAGTGGCCTCACAGGGAAAATTAGGCAATTGACATGAGCAATTAGCTGAATTTCCACTTAGCTTCTGTGTAACTGCTTGATGTGTGTTGGACTCTGGAAGTTAGGAAATTTACATGAACAATCAGTAAAGTAACAACTTGCAATTCAAAATTTCATGTTTGTTGGCATGTGATCCGTAGTGGGCCTCACAGGAGAAATTAGTCAATTGGCACGAGGATTTAGGGGATTATCAGCTAGCTCCTGTCTAACGGTTTCATATTTCGTAGAATCTGTCAAGTTAGGCAATTTGCATGGAGAATTAGTAAATTACCACTAAGTTTGTGGGAATTTGGTGTGCAGTTACCTCAAAGGGAAAATTAGGCAATTGACACCACCAGTAAGCTGAATTTCCACTTAGCTTATGTGTAACTGTTTGATGCGTGTTGGACTCTGAAAGTTAGGAAATTTACCTCAATAATTAGTTAATTAACCACCTCTGTTGCATAATTGCATGTTTGTGGGAATCTGGTTTGCAGTGGCCTCACAGGGAAAATTAGGCAATTGACACGAGCAATTTGCTGAATTTCCACTTAACTTCTGTGTAACTGCTTGATGTGTGTTGGACTCTGGAAGTTAGAAAATTTACATGAACAATCAGTAAAGTAACAACTTGCAATTCAAAATTTCATGTTTGTTGGCATGTGATCCGTAGTGGGCCTCACAGGAGAAATTAGTCAATTGACACAAGGATTTAGGGGATTATCCGCCTAGCTCCTGTCTAACGGTTTCATATTTCGTGGAATCTATCAAGTTAGGCAATTTGCATGGAGAATCAGTAAATTACCCACTAAGTTTGTGGGAATTTGGTGTGCAGTTGCCTCATAGGGAAAATTAGGACATTGACACCACCAGTGAGCTGAATTTCCACTTAGCTTATGTGTAACTGTTTGATGCGTGTTGGACTCTGAAAGTTAGGAAATTTACCTCAACAATTAGTTAATTAACCACCTCTGTTGCATAATTGCATGTTTGTGGGAATCTGGTTTGCAGTGGCCTTACAGAGAAAATTAGGCAATTGACATGAGCAATTAGCTGAATTTCCACTATTCTTCGGTATAATTGTTTGATCTGTGTTGGAGTGTGAAAGTTAGGAAATTGGCATGAAAAAGTAGTTAATTAACCACCTCTGTTGCATAATTTCGTGTTAGTTGGAATCTGATCTTTTATGGCCTGACAATGAATGTTAGCTAATTTACATGAAGAATGGTGTCATTATCCAGTTAACCTGCATGTAACAATTTGATGTCCTATCGTATGACAAGTAAAGTTAAGGATTTAACAATAACAATTAGTGTGTATACAATTTTCGGGTTTATGTAACAAGAAATGTTGGATGGTATGAATTTTGAAGTGCTGTTTAATCTACTAACTAATGACTTTGTGATTATTGGATAAAGGAATAAGATGGGAAAAAAAGGATGCACAAGTTACCGGCTGGAAAGTATTCAAGGGAGAATATTGGGAGCAAAAGAAGCAGGAGATGCATGGAAATATGAAAGCAATCACAGATGCGGCTTCAGCAATTTGGAAGGAGATGAGTGATGCTGACAGGGAGCCGTACAGGAAGAAGGAGCAACAACTGATAGAAGAGAAGAAGAAGAAGAAGAAGGAGAAATATGTGTCCCCATTTTCTACTCGGTGCTCCCCCACAAAATTCAAGGAAGTAGCAAACTTTATAAATGGTAAAGAAAATTTAAAGCGCAAGGTAGAAGAAAAGGGGTTTGGTCATCTTCTTGGTATTACTTTGAATAAACTGCCCAGAGATTTATGTCTGGAGTTGATTCATGCATATGACCCCCCAAGTAAACAAATCACCATAAGGGGGAAGACAAAGAAGGTAACTGGTACAGATGTTAGGAGGGTTCTTGGGTTACCAGATAAGGGCTCCAAAGTGAAGTTGGATGGCTTCAAGGATGAAGTAAATGAGCTGAAGAAGGACTATACTCCACTGACATATTCTCAAATTGCGGAGAAGATAAAGAGTGATGAAGAAGATGGAAACTTTAAATTCTATTTTGTTCTTTTCACAGTGGGCACTCTTCTTTGTCCCACGGGAAGTGCAAGTGTGAGTGAGAAGGTGCTAAAAGTAATGGCCTGCACAGCAAATAACTGGCAAAATTTTGACTGGGCTTCCTTTGTGCTTGACGAGCTCAGTGAAGAAATTAAACGGTACAATAGGAGCAATAAGGAAGGACAGACCGAGAGTGCCAGAATTGTTGGAGGGTGCATCTACTTTTTATTGGTACTTACATATTTCCTTACAAAATATGCCCTGTTGGATATGGTTTAACCATTAAACTGTTAATGTATTATGTAATTTGATTTTTGAGTCATATTTTTTCTTTCTCTATAGTTGTACTTCCTACACAGGTTCCCTCTGCAGGGAGGTGAACCAAAAGACAAAGACGCCGTCAGACATTGGGATGATAAGGCTATGAAGAGTAGAATTGACGCGGAAAAGGAGATTCGACATGACATTTTCTACAATCCACCCACTGCTGAAGTGAATGAGTCAACACAACCGGGGAGCAACAGAAGTTTCCATCATCCAGTGAGTAATACCAATGTGGTAATGTCTGTTGGTCAGACTTAATATCTGTTTGATGACATACATTTACAATGTGCAGGACATTAAGGAGTTTTGGGTCAATTTCAACAACACATTGAACAATGAGATGGCCCAGATTCAAAACTTTGTTTGTGATGAATTAGTCAAGCTGCAAAAAAAAATTCTTAACCGAGGAGGCAATGAAGAAGAAGGAAAAGAACACCACACTGAGGAGGATGAAAATGAGCGGCCATAACTTGATAAAGTTATGACTGTAAAGGGCGGAGAAACACATGAAAGTAGTGATAAATCGCATGATGATGAACAGCAAGAAGAAGAAGAGGAAGATGAAGACGAGAATGACAATGTGAGAGAAGATGAAGCTGTAGAAAAGGATACTGAAGATGAACAAGTAACTGAAACTGAAGAAGGGAAAATGGTGGGCAAAGTAGTGCAACTACCCATAAGGAGGTCAAGTAGACGTAAACTCCCAATAGTTAAATCTCCTTACATGTCTACTTATGGCAGAAAGGTGAAAATGAGTGACAGGGATGCATTTTATGCTGTGTGTACTGAGTGGTGTCAACTAGATGAGGCTCAAGAGTAAGTATAGTCAGTTATTATAGAAAAGACAGCCTGTAAATAATACTACTATGCAACACTGACTACTTATTTTCACTTTCATATTTGTTGTAGGGTCATGGTAGATATGTTTGGGCATTTGGCAATACGAGCAGACCTACAAGCACTGGGTCCTAGAAGGTGGATAAGCAACAGGGTACGTGCACCTGTTCAATTTACATCAAAGTGGCCATATATGGAATGTGCCACATTTTTAATTTAATTTTCCTACTCCTTTATTCTGCAAATCATGACTCTGATTGCCCACACCTTGAATGCTGACCAACAGGAGAGTGCCTCTGCGGTTAAAAGACACATATTTGATGCAGATTTCACGGTTAGTGTTATCCCCTGTTAATGGATCAATGCTTTAAATTGTGCAATCAAGTTATCAGTACAGTTTCTTCACTGACAATTTGTATTGCTGTGCAAT